TGGCATAAATACTTTAGTTGGATATGGGTTCGTTCACCCAAAAAAGAAAATACCATTAATATTTATTATTTATGTGGAACACAATAATGATTTTTTTTTTTTTTTTTTAAATAAATATTCTGCCCACTCTTTTTAATATAATGAATGAGGACAGGGGCTGTCAAGCTCCAAAATTATTTTAAAAAGCACCATAAAAGTATTAGAAAAGTGGTCTGTGCTTTACTGCATGTCTTACAATGCATATTATCGCTTTCTGTGAGGAACAAAACCAAAATTGAAATATTACTGACTACTTTTATGATACCTTTTATGGTGTCTTTGCGTCCTTTTTGATGTTTGAAAGTTTAAGTCTTGATTTATTGTAATTGCAAGGAAACGAGGGCCAGTACATTTTTCAAAATGTCTTCTTTTGAATTTTGCAAGGAAGCCATACAAGTTTATGACAACATGAGAGTGAGTTAATACCACAATTTTCATTTTTGATAAACTTTCTCTTTAATCAGATTGGATCATAAATGTTGATTTACTGTAGCTGATTTATCTTTCCCTTTCAAGATCAGTACATTCTCCATAAGATAACATCTCAAGAATTTTTTTTTTTTCAAATCTCAAGATTTGCTGTTAAATAAACGCCTCATATTCATGTGAGTGAACAGCTGATCAAAATACACCCTAGAGGTTCCCCTCCATCTCTTCTCACCCCAACAAAGAGTCCTTTTGCTTTTTCTTGGATCATAAATTATCATTTGGTAACAAGCATTAGAATGTTCTTGACTTTTTTTCTAACAGCTTTATAAATGTGGACTTTGTTCTGATGGCAGACACAGACCCTTTTTTTTTTACCTCTCGCATCTTTTATTGGAGCAATAAATTGCTGTTATCGTGAGCAGGGAACGCCTTCATTCAGCTAGTTGAACATGTCATACAGGTTCACCAGCTTGAAAAACACAGGTTGCTGACTAGCATAATCCCTCTTTAACCTCTCAGCTGTTGAACTCTATAGTGTCAAAACTCTTGCATCATGGCTGTCACAGCTAAAAATGTATTTGTATTTTGAAAGTGTATTGTTAGTACTGTAAGTTACAGTTAGACCAGTGTTGTTGATAGGATTGCTAGATTGTTGTGGTTTGCTACTGCTGTGATGTCATGTGAGTTACAGGTGGTCCCGCCCTTGTGCCAGTAGTCATCAGAGAGGTGTCATTGCAAGTGGGAGGGGAAATCATTTTGAATTTAAAAATTAATTAAAAAAAAAAATATGTGCAAGGGACAAATCATTTATAAAAAATAATCCAATATTCCATAAAAAAAATAAGAATTGTTCATTTGTGATGTGATGTGATGTGCGAAAACCCACCACATGGTGAAATTTGACATATTACAGGTTTTGAGACCATATTAAAGCTGGATTCAAGCCCTTTCCAAATCTGTTTTTATTTATTTTATTGTTTGTCTGTAACAAAATTTGTTGTTAACTTGTTTTTATTTCTTTTATCGTTTGTCTGTAACAAAAGTTGTCGTTATCTGAAGTCGGCTGATCGCTACGATTTTCAGAAACGGAATTTTGAGAAAAAAACGGTTTAATTAACGGTCACATCCTGTTAGCGGGACGACTGGCACTCGTTATTTATTGCCTTTTTTCATATCACATATTTTAGTAATAATCATAGATTAGGTATCATTTGAAAGCTTACAAACTCAAAATTCATCCTGTGAAAACCATTTTGAAATTGGACTATTGAGAGGCGAGCAAGATCTTTTAAGCGAGCAGCTTCAGACTTTTTTGTTATCTTGTGCTTCACATCACACCACTCGATAATGCTGGATAAAAATACATAAATAAATAAAAACTTGTGTGCAGCCTTTGTAGTTCACCCAGGACTGGACTTTATTCTGTTATGTGTTTTTTTTTGATAGGTGAACTGTCTTTTTTGTTTGTAGAGTTAAAAGGAGAGCTAAACAGGAGCTATTGTCTTCTTGGCCCTCCTCTCTGCCTGTGTGTTCTTAAAGAGAAACACATTCTTTTCAGCTGGCCATTATACATCGCTATTTTTCTGCACTAAACTAGTGAATTTTCCCAAGATATATTCGGAGATGATAAACAAGATGTTATAGAATAATAATTTAATAAAAACACAATTTTGACAAAAAACTGACATTCAATCTACAGTATATTTAGACTTTACTGAAAACGTACCAGCGCGACATCCAACGGGTTTTCCCAGATCGCATCACATTTTGATTTCATGATGACTTTAAATAGCACCTATTATGGCATTTAAAATGTTCCTAATATTGTTCTGGGAGTCCCCAACAACAGTTTTACATGAATGCAATGACAAAATACACTTTTGTTGTCTCATAATATGCTTTTCTTTTAATTTCAAAACAGTAATGTAGGCCACATACAGTATCTCACAAAAGTGTGTACAACCCTCATCTTTCAGCAAACATTAATATATATTCTCAAGGGACAATACTATGGAAATGGAACTTAGATATATTTTTTAATAGTTATTGTGCTGCTTGTATAGCAGTGTGTATCTACTGTCCTCTAAAAATAACTCAACATACAGCCATTATTTTCAAAATAGCTGGCAACAAAGTGAACATGTCAAAACAGTGTTCGTAGTGTCAATATTTTGTGTGAGCACCATTGTTATTTTGCACTGCCTTAATCCTCCTGGCCATGGAGTTCACCAGAGCTGCACAGGTTGTTGCTGGGATCCTCTTCCGCTCCTCCAAAATGATCTCACGGAGCTGCTGGATGTTAGACACATGGTGCTTCTCCACTTTCCGCTTTAGGATGCCCCACAGGTGCTCGATGGGGTTCAGGTCTAGAGACATACTTGGCCACTCTATCTCCTTCATCTTCCACTTCCTCAGCAAGGTTGTTGTCATCTTGGTGGTGTGTTTGGGGTTGTTATGCCGTTCAGCACAGTTTCTGAAGGGAGGGCATCATGTTCTGCTTCAGAATGTCACAGTACATACATGAATCCTTGTTTCCCTCAATGAAGCTCAGCTCCCCAGTACTAGCAGCACTCATGCAGCCCCAGACCATGATGCTACCACTGATGGGCTTGATCGTAGGCAAGACACAATTTTCTTGGTACTCCTCACCAGGTGTCGCCCGCCATATACATGCTGGACACCATCTGAGCCAAACAAGTTTATCTTTGTCCCATCAGACAACGGGACATGGTTCCAGTAATTCATGCTCTTGGACAGGTTGCTTTCAGCAAACTGTTTACAGGCTTTCTTGTGAGCCAGCTTCAGAAGAGGCTTCATTCTGGGGTGACGGCCATGCAAACCGACTTGTTGCAAAAATGGAAGGTCAGCTTGTCAGTGCTCAGACCATACACCACGCCACACAATGAAACCTCTAAAGCAGTGCTGGCAGGACTCATACGTCTGTTTTTTGAAGCCCGCTTCTGCACCTGACGCACGGCACAAAGACTCCACTTCTTTGATTGACCCTCGTGAGGCCTGTCAAGCAGACAAAAACATGAACATGAGGAATAGGACCTGTGGATTTGCATGGTTAAACGACGTACAACTTTTATCACTTGGGGTGTTTTCACTTTTTTTGCCAGATATTTTGACAATAATGGCTGTATGTTAAGTTATTTTCAGAGAACAGTAAATATATACTGCTAAACAAGCAGCACATTGACTACTCTAAAATATATAATTTATTTATTTACTTTACATGCAAAGGGATGCCAAGAATCTTAAGTGCAAAATGCCATAGATATTTTACATCAATGAATGTGGTATTTTTATTGTGATCCTATTTAGGTTTTAACCTTAGGTGACAGTGCTCCTAAACAGTGTTGTGCAAGTTACTTCCAAACTGTAATACATTAGGTATTACTTGTTACTGTTATTTAAAAGTAATTCATTACCTTACAATATTACTGTCCCAGAATTGTAATGCGTTACATTACTCATGTATTACTTTTTAGTTACTTTCACCAAAATAACTAAGTAAAACTTAACTTTTGGGCTGTAACGATTTGCAATATGAAACATTAGGGACATGATGACATTTGCAGTCAAAACTTGAAATAAAAATTCTAAGAAAATACATGTATTGAAACGTATATAGGCTACTTCCTTAAAGGACTCCAGACATTAGACAAATATCAGTCTATGTTTTATTTTTAATATTAGGGAAAAGACACACATTCATGCGTGACAAAAAAATAGGAGGCAAAATCGATTTTTTTGTAATTCTGTTAATTACACTGCGCAAATCGGATGAGGAAGGGTTGGCTCTCCAGTCTCCATAGAACTTAAAATATTCATTTTATTTTAGTTTTCGTGTTCGCATTTATGAGGAAAAAACAATTTTATAGATGTGACCACTCTAAACTGGCACTAAAAGACTGCTTTAAAACTTTCACATAGTCTGTTGCCTTTAAGAAGTAAAAGCAGACAATACACTGTAATACAACTGTAATACAAGCCTCACTGAACATGTAACGAGTAAAATATTACTGAAAATTGATTAGTAATGCCTTACACTACTGCGTTACAGCAAAAAGTAATATGTTACTGTAATGTATTACTTTTGTAATGCGTTACTCCCAACACTGCTCCTAAATAACAAGTCAAGGACAAGATAAGTGACATAAAAGACATAAATATACTGTATCTCATTTTTCTTCCGCTTATTTAGCTTGTTGCATTTACAAAATAAAATAACATTGTCAATTTAGAGTGGAGCTATACTGTTAATAGGGTTCTTTGGCCGTTGTTTTTCTGGTCTTTATATCTGCTGTCAACCGTCCCTATGTCGTAGGGTTTGTCAGTGTATTTGAGTGAACGTGTTTTTAGTGTGTAGCCTTTTGTATAGAGCTGCTGGGAGCCGGCCTGATGGGATTTTGCTCACACCTTCTAGCTCATTCACTATAGGGCACACAGAAACCTAAAACACTGTTCTGTTATTGTCCTTTTCCCAGACTGTGAGTGATTAACCAAACACCTCTTCTCCCCTACAGACGCCAGGAGAGCAGCAGGAGGCTCAAAAATGTAAGTGAATTATTTGGGTTGATGTGAAATCATGTTTAACCCCTAATTTGCTCAATTGAAATGTGCTGTGGGCTTTTGGAATTTTTGCTTCATTACTGTGGTGTCAAACAAAATGCTCACTTAACAGATCCCATATTGCGGTTAGTGTTTGTCTGTTTATCTCTTAAAGTACCACAGTAGCAGTATGTCATAGTAACATTTCAAGATGTTTCATCTAAAACTCAAGGCCACCGATCAAGACATCTCTGTCCTCCATAGAGAACAACTGCAGTGGCCCAAAGAGTATCTGGACACAAGTGTGAATATCTGAACAAAATATCTAGGCAAGCCTGTAATGAATTAAACAAAAATAAGTTAGATTTCAAGTTATAAAACAATAGATAAAGTACACTCCCGTTCAAAAGTTTGAGGTCTGTAAACATTTTTTTTAATGATTTAGTTTAGAAATAAGTTTATTATGCTCACCAAGCCTGTATTTACTTGATAAATATTTATATTGTAAAATATTATTATAATTTAAAATGTTATTATTGTACTGTTTTCAAATATAATTCACTCCTGTTTTCAGCATCATTACAGTGTCACATGATCCTTCTAGAATCTTTCTAATATGTTGATTTGCTGCACAAGAAACATTTCTTATTGTTATCAATGTTGAGAACAGTTGTACTGCTTAATATTTTTTGTGGAAACCATGATAAAAAAAAAAACATTCTGGATTTTGAATATAAAGATAAAAAGAACAAAATCTGTAAAATTCTTTACTGTCACTTTTGATCATTTTAATGCATCTTGCTGAATAAGAGTATTATTTAAAAAAAAAAAAATCTTATTGATCTTTGAATGGTAGTGTATGTTATTTACAATTAGGACAAACATAAATAAATAAATAAATATGTTTTATATGTTTTTCCTAATTGTAAAGAATGAAAAACTAGAATGACCACATGAGTATTAGGAAACTTCTCAAAAAGAAAAAAAGTTCAATACTTTTTAGAGCTAGTGTAGCCTATATAATATATTAAACTTGTGCAATGTGATTTATCTAGTTCCTGTTGATATCTCATGGTTTATTGGCATATACAGTACAATTTTGTTTCAACAAGTACTTATACAATTGTGTTGATTTGTCTCACAGGTTCTGATCACCATATATTGGCTGGGCAGAAAGGCACATGCTGATCCTTTTTACAATGGACCTTACTTAAAACTAAAGGCTTTTGAGGAATTACTTGGCACAGCACTATATAAGGTAAGATTATGCAGTATTTGACTAGTATTTACACTTAGATGTTACTGTATAGAGGAGTGTGTGAATAGTGGATTCTTCTAGGCTAGCTGACCTTGTACAGTAAATTTTATTTTACATCCATTCTGTAATTTAAAATATGCTGCATGCTAGTCTCATGGTATGGAACACAGTCAGCCAATTGCAATTAAAGGTGCAGTGTGTGATTTTTAGCGACATCTAGCGGTTCAGTTGCAAGTCGCACTAAGCAAGGGCTCAGCCCACTGCTCACCCTTGCCTTTCAAAGAAGGGGAGTCTGAGACAGCAGAGAATAACCAGAGTAAGCCAAGAGTGTGTAACATTGTCACTGTTTTTGCACCACAGTCCAGTATAAACCACATCATGGATAAAGTTTACAAAACCATTGTCAGGTGAGGATCAAGGGTCTTAATATACAATATAATGTAATAATAGTATCAGCTGATTGTGTCTTGTCTCACGAACGTTACCAGCACATTTCTCCCCACATAGCAAACCCATAATACAGCGAGGGAGAAGGACCATATGAAACTATGCAACTATATATTTTTTCTAACAGGGTAGTAAAGGTTTAACTGGCTAATATGAGCTGTTACTGTGGCTGAGCTGGTTAAAGCACAAAGCCTTGTTTAAACTCTACGTGTCCGCGTGAGCCCAAAGGTGTGCTACAAAAATTACATGATTACCTCTACATCCCCTAGACACCATTTACTACACAATAGGCTTTTTTTCTCTGATTTTGATTCTCTGATCGGCGAAGACCGATCTTCGCGATCGTCTTAAAATGCTTCCAAGATCGACGGGTTGGTGATTCCTGTTACATACTGTTTTACGGTCGATGACAAAGTACTAATCACGAACGAACGAACGCAACCAACACATTTATCCCCACATAGCAAAGCCATAACACAATGACGGAGAAGAACTAAGTTACAAGAAACAATCCAACTACATATTTCACACCACTGACAAGGGAAAAGTCACTGCTCATGGTGTCTATGGCTAGCTTCTAGCTTTCTGCTGCTTCTCTTTCAAGGTAGTGACGAAATACGCTCTTTAGCGCTGTTTGTTCACGTTCGGCTACGGTAGAAACATGATGTCACAATGTATCGGCCTTCATAGAAGGGGGTGCCTCATTCTGAGGTATTAAAAACATTACGGTTTATTAAGTAAGTTCTTTATACAACACTGAAAACATTGAACACTGAAAAGTTATTGTTGTCAAGAATCATCTGTGTAAAAAAAACAGTTTGAACACCTCAGTGTACCCGATTGGCTTCAATGGTATGACTTTCAATGGAAGAGATGGCAGATTCTCACGAGCAAGACTGTTTATGGACTGAAAGAGGCTGTATGCTGTGTTTGTTGTTTGTGTTTTTCCCTTGTGCATGCTGTGTGTCGGCCTGTCTCCCTCACACTCACACCCTTGTGCTCGACAGACACTAGAGGATTGCACATCACTGCGGGGCAGTGCACGAAACGGCACTTGTAGAGATAGCTGTTACTCAGAGAAAGAAGAGCTCTTCCCGCTAAGGGCCGGACACAGGAGAGAAGACTCTCTAGATAGCCTCGATTCGCTGGGCTCCAGAACTTACAGCACATCCTCAGACGCTACACTCAAAGGAAGCAGCGAGGGTAAGACTCTTCAATCTTGTGCATTCTAGCTTGACTTTGAGAGTCAGAGATGAGTAGTTGTACAAAAGGTGGAGGTGGTGGATATCTCATTTTGTGTCTTATTAAACAAAACATTCTCCACCAGTGCAAGAAAAATATGCAGTCAAGTTTAAAAACCTGACCACAGATAGCTTTGGCTCAAATGTAGTTAATTGATTAAAGGATTAGTTAACCCCAGAATTAAAATGTCCTGATAATTTACTCGCCTCCATGTCATCCAAGATATTCATGTCTGTCTTTCTTTAGTTGAGTTTTTGGAGGAAAACATTCCAGGATTTTCTCCATATAGAGGACTTCAATAGGGTTTGAAGGTCCAAATTGCAGTTTCAATGCAGCTTTAAAGGGCTCTACATGATCCCAGCTGAGAAAAATGATCTTATCTAGTGAAACAATCGGTCTTAAAGCTACACTGTGTGATTTTTACCCCCATCTAGCGGTGTAAAGATATATGAGCATCCAGTGAATATTAGTTTCTGTTCCTCTCTATTCCGATTGCGTTTTAACTCCTACGGTGGCCAGTGTAGTCCAAGATTAACATGGCTTCCAGTTCGACCTCGTCCATGAGTGTTTTGGCGTCCATGAGTGGCGAAGCTTTAATTAACGGGTATGTCCCTCTTTGGCTAATGTACTTTCAAGATGGAGAGTCAACATGGCGACCAACATTAGAACCCCTTACGTGTATGTATTTTCAATGGCATATTATACACTCACGAGAATACTTGATATTACTTGAACAAAGTAAATATACATTAATGAGCACATATTTTTGAAAGAACTAAGTGTAATACACTAAAAGAGTTACACAGTGTAGCTTTAAAAAAAAGTATATACATGCTCATTTATGCTCAACCACAAATGCTCATCTCAACAAAGCAAATGTGCAAAGACAAAAAAAAAGTAAAACAATGAGGTCAGAGATGGAGTTTTTCACCATACCCTACCCTTTTGAACTAGAACACACTTGACCTTTCCAACGTAATGTGTGGCGCATCGCAGAGCGCAAGACGAGCTTTTGTGGATTAAAAAGTATATTTTACAATTATTTTTTTAGAAAATGACAGATTGTTTTGCTAGATGATACCCTTATTTCTTGGCTGGGATCGTGTAGAGCCCTTTGGACATGGGGGTGAGTAAATTATCAGGAAATTAGAATTCTGGAGTGAACTCTTGCTTGTCAAAACAAATGCCTAGTGCCCTCTAGTGGTACTCAAACTATATACCTTTTAATGCTTTTAATGTTTTAATGAGCTATATTTTGTTGTCTGTGACGGTCAGCACAGCAGATACGGTTTTGATGGAAAGTGCAAACTCCCATCAATTCATCCTCTTCCACATGTTTGCGTTTCAATGACATTAGCATCTTTTTACTGAGTCATGGTCCCAGGGGCTCAATTGCAGCTCATGAGGAAGGTGCTGATGTAATTAGCTGCTGATATAATTAGCCTGCTGGACTGTCTACACGTTCACCCCAGTGAGACATTTTTTTCTTATTCCCCACTGACCTGCCAATGAGTCAGACGCATCCCACTATCATGTTTACTACAGAGAAGTGTGTTAAAAAAGCTGTCATCTTTCCATTTAAAAAATTTACTACAAAACATATATTGTGTAAATTATATTAGGATGATAAAATCTGACCGACCCCAATCTTTTGAATGGAATTCTCTGAAAATGTCTTTATCATGCTTTTGAAAGAAGTATTTAATGCTCATAGAGCCTGCATTTGTTTGATCAAAAATACGGTAAAAACAGTAATATTGTGAAATAAAATTAGAATTTAAAATAACCGTTTTCTATTTTTTTTTAATAAATATAAAATTCAATTTCTTCCTGTGATGGCAAAGTTGAATTTTCAGTGTCACATGATCCTTCAGAAATTATTTTCTGCACAAGAAACATTTATATCACAATTGTGCTGCTTAATATATATATTTTTTTTCTAAGTTAGTTTTCTAAGTTAAAAAAAAACTTTTTTTAAGTATTCTTTAAAAAAAAAAAAAAAAAAAAATCTTACTGCCACCAAACATTTGAACAGTATTATATTACAGTGTATGGATTACATGTGTTTTCTTAACCATCAGCAAAGAGATTTTTTTTCTTGCTTAAAATGTTCTTAAAATCTAAATTCTAGTGAAGAAAATACATTTTTACTCTGCATATTTTGTGTGAATTAAATTTAGTCTCATAAAATAGAAAAGTGTGAATTAATCTAAGGGGACCATCCAGCAGTCCCTGTAAGAAAAATGAAAAACAAAATTCAAAAAGATTATTAAACTGTTACATTCTATAAGGTTTAGGGTTATGGGTTACAAAAACATCATTAGCTCAGTAAAAAAAACAATAAAAACAATAAAAGTCAATGGAAAGTCCCCACCAGGAAAGAAAAACAATCATGCATGCGTGTTCATACGCTCACACTTCTGGCTCTCTGTGCTGTTTCTCCAGGTTGTGGTAGTGACCCCGAAGCAGATCTGAGCTTCATGATGTCAGAACATAAGGAATACCGCCGTTCGTTGGTCTTAACACCTAAGACCACCACTCCGTTCAATCAGTTCCTGCCATCAAAGGATAAGCAGTCGGGCTATGTTCCAGCACCATTACGCAAGAAACGTGCAGAGCGAAATGAAGACAACAGAAGAAGCTGGGCTAGCCCTATGTTCACAGAAGATGATGGCACTTTTACTAGGTAATGCAAGTCTACACTTTAAAGATTCAATGGGGGTTTTCATTGGATGGTATATTTACCTACTCTGGTGAAAGATGACCATCTGATCATTGATTTATGATGTAATATAGACCATTATTGCCATTTTTTTTTTCTTTCTTTCTTTGAGGAAAACACCCACAGAATAGAAAAGTCACAAATGAGGTCTCAGTAGTTTCTCCTAGGCAGCAAAAAAATTAAAAAAGAGCTTTTCAGATTTTTCTCCAGACAAAAGACCCTAGTAATCTTAAACCTGTCTCTTCTAAAAATATTCAAAAGATCTCAATGTGAACTCAAAACAATTCTCAACATTTCTCTTGATCATTTTCTTTGCTTCCTGGAAATGTTTATCATTATATTCCTCCTTTGTTGGGTGAGATGTTTGCTATGAAACATTCTCGATGTTTGAATGCCAGTGCTTATAATTCCCACTATTTCTTGGCATTTTGTGCTTTCGTGACCATCATTGGTGGTGTGTCCCAGTCATGAGAGGGCTGGTTCAGACCCTTCATCTATCACAGAGTTGAAATCGCAGACAACTGCCCACCAGTCTTTGGCCTATGAGTATGAGAGCAGTGATTCAGATACAGATCGACCGGATCCCGACATGGTTCTAGATGACTTCGCTAGCCGTAGATTTCACAGCCCGTCCCCTGTCATTCCGACCAACTTTGCCTTACCCATGAGCCCGCTGGAGGGAGCTGCTGTCTTGTGTACCACCAGGCCACAGGTGGCTGTCAGTAATGTGCCCCGGCATTCATTGACCCATCTCAGGTCAGAAACTGGCTCCTTTGACACGCATCTGTTTGCTATTTTATCAGTGTTAACTTTGGGTTTTCTCCAGAAACCTTGGTTTTGAGTTGCTGTGATGTCATTATTTCGCTTGATTTTCAACCCATAGCGTGGACTTTTTGAAACAACATTTTGTTTTCAATGTTTGATTTTCATTTGGTTTGGTATGCTTGATAACCATGGATGGTTTGATGTGCATTGATCGTTGGTGGTATGTAACAAAAATGGCTGTCTTTTGAGCAGCGGTCAGTCACAGCCTCTTCAGAGGACTTACAGGAGGCCTGTATCAGCTGACGCCTGCATTTACGATGACTCTGAAGAAGAGGATGATGAGTTTGGCTATGCTGACCCTGTTCAAGATGACCTTTATGCCCGTAAAGTAGGCCTGATGCCACAAACATCTGCCACAGTGCCTTTTGATAAATTTCTTCCTAAGTTCTGGACGGCTGAGGAGGATGCACACGTGAAGAAGATCAAACTGGGCTCCCAGCGCCGCCCTTGGTACAGGAAGATCCAAGGTTTCAGGTCTGTCCAGTGCTGAGGCAAAAAAATAAAATAATAAAATAACGTAAATTAAGAAAAGAACATAAATAATTCTGAAAAATGATCCTGTACATAACTCCAGGAATACTTATTTTTTCAAGACATACTTGGTATTTCAAAAAAATATGTAAATAAATCAGCTGCCCCATATTTATTATAATTGGCAACTGTAAAGTTGGAAATTAAAATTAAAAGAAAATACACTTACTGATTCTTTTTTATTTTTTTTTATGCAATCTGACTTAGAACCTGCTTTCAATTGTAAGCCCTATTGATCAGTCCATCAGGTGTTTTTCAATTTCTAATTTTGCTACCCAGTGGCTCCAAAAAAGTACAGAAAAGTACATAAATATACCTGTCAAATGAACGTTTCATAAAATTTGATAATCGGGATAGATGTCCAAATTTTGTATTAGTTTTTTATCTTGATATATATATAGTACTATATATATTTTCAGTTTTGGTTAATTGTACAAATTTATTGGATGCCACTGTAAATCCTGAGGTTTTCTTTCTGCTTATTTACTTGCTAAGGCTTCTCTGTTACCTCCCTCTGTTTTCTCTCTGATGATGGTTACTAACTTTTCTCCATTTTCTTTCTCTATGCTCTTTCACCTCACATTTTCCAGTCACAAGAAGTCAGGTTCGTCCTCTGAAGAATCAGATGGTGACGCCAATCCCTGGCTCTCTCTACCTGCTTTCTCTCGCACTCAATCTGAACCCCCTCCCTCTCACTTCCATGCACCTGAAGGCCTCGCTCAGTCCAGCCTCACTTCCACACCCAGGTCCTTATCACAGCCCCATATGCAGTAGGACCGGGCATCCACTCACTTCCCTTGATCAGCTTCTCTACATATTCTAATAAATCTATCAACTGATGCATATTAATAGAATTTTTTTTTGTCATAATCATCATTGTGAATGTTAATGTTCTCAACAGACTAGTGCACATAAGTGATTGAAATGGTGAGAAGGTCGAAATGACTCATGCCTAACATTACAAGTTTTCTGAAGCTATAAATGATGTGCTAGGAGACAAAGCCCAATAAGCTGTTCATTTGAGTCAGTGAATTGAATTCATAAACCGGTTCATTGAAAAAGTCATGAGTCTGTGAGTCTGAGTCTGATCTGTTAAATGAATACAGCTGATTCAGAAATCTATCTGATCAAATCCTTTACAAACACACTGATTTCATGTAACTTAATTTCAACTCAATTAATGCCCTTTGAGCTCTTGAATTATGTGCCACAACTGATTTAACAGTAATATCAGTGAATAATTACATTTTGGTCTGTTCCCCAAACAAAGCTATCATATCTTCAGAAAATGTGGAATATTACGAGTTGTACGGACCATTTTACAGATTTGTTGGTGCATTTTTAGGGCTTCAAGGCCCGCTCACACCAAGAACGATAACTACAGAGAAAAAAATAACTACATATATTAGCGCCCACACCAATGCACCATAACGTCCTGTTTATTATAAGCTTGCGCTGCAGTTACTGTATGTCGTCTGCCACTTTAAAGGGTTAGTTCACCCAAAAATTAAAATTCTGTCAGTGTTTACTCAGCCTCACATTGTTCCAAACCTCTATGTGTTTATTTGTTCTGCTGAACACAAAGGAAGATATTTGGAAGAATGTTTTAATCAAACAGGTCTCATTCCCCATTGACTACCATAGTATGTATTTTTTCCTTCTATGGTAGTCAATGGGGAATGAGATCTGTTTGATTAAAACATTCTAACCAAATATCTTCCTTTGTGTTCAGCAGAACAAATAAACACAGAGGTTTGGAACAACATTAGGGTGAGTAAATACTGACAGAAGGTTAATTTTTTGGGTAAACTAACCCTTTAAATGCTCAAGCTCTTTAAAACAAGATACATTCTGATTACTGTCGATGTTTTCATTATTCATCAGCTGGGAAAAAAATCTATCTGAAAGTGATTCCCACAATAGCATTCCTCTGTCAAAATTAAATTTGAAGTAACATTTAGTATTTTGAGGCAGAACACTCACTGTTGTTTTTCCAAAATTTAGAGCAAAATGAGTCCACATTATATATTGCATGGTTAGTTGCATCCCTCTGCATACACTACTGGTGCTAACTGGTCTTAAATGATTTCTACTCGTTTTACTGTCCCCTTGCATGTTCTGAATCCTTTCTTTACTCTTTTCTCCTTTGATTCACCCACAGTTCTCAGACACAGCACCTCACTATTGCTCAGCAGAGTGCTGGGCTCTCTAAGTCAAAGCCCCCTGATTTTTGGCCCAGACCAGATCCCACCTCTGGCCCCAGACTCATAAAATGCGAAAAGCACCCACTCCTTGGGCGTGAACACCCTAACGACCCATACAACGTTTCTGCCGACATCCTGCCTGATTTGGAAAATGACGATATGTTTACACGTCGTACAAAAACCTTCCACTCGAGTGATGATCTGGCCAAGTTGAAGTACGGTAACTTCCTGGTGCCTCGCCACAGATCGGAGGCTGAAGTCACGGTGGTAATTCAGCCCCGCCATGAGAGTGAACCCATTTATCCTGACATTGAAAAAGACGACGTGGTTTTTCGAAGGGCTCAACATCGAATGAGTCATTACCCTCTGTCTGGGGCCCCTGATAACTATCACCCTGTTCCTATTCCAGAGACATGGGCTTTGCCACCAAAACTGCAGGCCAAGCTAATGTTTGGCCCAGTTGAACCCAGACAGAACGCACCAAAGTCAGAGATTAAACACGGAGCAGAGCAGCACGTGAAAACAGATGATATGCTACTTAGGAAGCTAAAAGCTTTAAATACCCAAGGGGTAGAGGAAAAGGGATCTCCCCATGTTTCTTTGTCTTGCAATGAAGAAGATATGCAGAAATGGCAAGCCATCAGAGAGGCCAGCCGTGTGCGATACAGGAAGAGGCTGATGGTTGAGAGGTTAGGTTTCTGAGCCTGCAGAAATACCTGTGTGCGCTTGTCATCATGATCTCATCTGCAGTGTACTTTTCTCATTCTCGTGTTAACTATGATCTTACACTGGCAATGGCAAATGTTTGTGAGTCTGACATGGGTTGAAACAGGTAGATATTTGGTTTTCTTAAGCCTAGTTCACACTACATGATTTGAAAATCGTTGAGCTCGCCAACAGGTCAGGGTGTTATCGCGTACAAATCATGAGGGATTAGAGGGCGATGAACGCTCGCCAATCTTTTAGTACGAAAGAGCCAACAACGAATCAAAGACGCTCGCAGGCAGACACCTTGCAGACATGCTAGATATCCAGAGCTGTCACACGACTCAACCTCACGTGATGTCATGAGCTACAGCCAATTAGAGCAAGGCATGGGTTGAGGTCACCAGGTAAATCTTATTTTTTTATTTTTTTTGCATTTTTTCTCAGAGTAAATCATCGCTCAAACAGTGTGCAGCACTATTTTCTGTCTGACGTCCATATTCGCGTGTTGTGTTCTTCTCTTCTTCACTGGGTATTGGCGCGCGTGCGGTTTCGTGTCATTTCCAGTTCGTTTTATAGCGTGATTTTTAATGACAAAATGTGGTTGGTGGACAAGATAGAATCGTTGGGTGACAGAGTTGTTGTCAACTCCTGTAGTGCATTACCTCCTGTTGCGGATCAATCAAGTTGTGTTGTGTGAACAGCTCAACAACTTGAACACTTTTCACAGAGTCCAAGTCATGTAGTTTGAACCGCACAGTTCAGCCCGACGTTTTAAAATCATGTAGTGTGAACTAGGCTTTAGTGTTTTTCTCTTAAATAATTTTTGACCAGCTTCAAATTTTGCACTAATTGAGAAAAGTTTGTGCATGAAGTGATGAGGTCAAAATGGTTTTCAGCATTGAAATTAGTTGTTTTATCTAATCTTATTTTCTTGAATGTGCAAGGCTTTCATTGTCAGCCGCTTCCAATTATTTTAGCTTCACAAACACAGTCAGTTATGCTGGTTGATATTACAAACTGGTATTTATCATATTATTTTATAATCATAAACACACTGTTATAACACATAGGTTTGTACAGTTTAATGCACTTTCTTGTTATTTACCTATAGTGGCTAATGAGTCAAAAGTCTGTTTTCTTAGGTTCACTTTCCTGACTTATATAAATTGAAAAGCATTTTTACTGATTAGCTGGAACACCAAATAATGTGACATTACAAATACACTTTGTTTGAGTTTGGACAGACTGACCAATTGCCTGTGAAATGCATTTTGCTTGTGTTTAATAAAAGACTGAAAGTTTTGATCATGAAAGCATTTAAGAAATTGATAGATCAAGTACAGACTCAACTGCTTTGACTTTCGTTTAAGTCCCATAGTCCTAACAGACTTTATAAGGTGTGGGTGTATCCAGCTAAGCTGTGGTGGAATTTTAAAACCTGAGCAATGTCTAAAAATAATCCAGTCAGACACATTCACTCTTTACAAAGTAACTTACAAAGCACTCTAGCTCCAAATTCCCCACACCCTTGTGATCCTGTGAAAGCTGGAACTTGCACATATGTGACCGTGGAAACACACCTAGCACTTGAACTCAAGTACAACATTGCATTTGATCAGAGTCTATGTAATGTCGGGGCATTAAAATGAGCAAACGCACTGGGATTGGTGGGGAATTCTACAAGTTTCCAATGATGTCATTCTACCTGAACCTAAACTAAATTACAACTGACAGTTAATATTACGTTTGCACATTTTAAATGTCAGACAGCCTGGTCTGTAATCACCAAATTAACTGAATGCTGAAGCTTGACTTTGTACTGTAAAAAAATAAATAATCATTATGCACTTGATCATAGCTGGAGTGGTGTGGCTAGGCTATTGACATGTACAATACCGTTCGAAAGTTTGGGGTCAGTACCGTGATTTTTTTTTTTTTTAGTTAATTTTTTTTTCTGCAAGTATGCATTGAAGACATTTATAATGTTACAAACATTTTCTATTTCAAATAAATGCTGATCTTTTGTTCTTTCTATTCATCGAAGAATCCTGAAAAATATATTAATTTCCACAATAATGTGAAGCAGCACTAACTGTTTTCAACATTGATAATAATAATAATAAATGTTTCTTGATCATCAAATCAGCATGTTAGAAAGATTTCTGAAGGGTCATGTGACACTGATGACTGGCTGCGGAAAATTCAGCTTTGCCATCACAGAAATAAATTATATTTTTATACATATTAACATAAATATCAAAATAATTTATTTAAATTATAATAATAATTCACGATATTACTGTTTTGCTGTTTTTTTTTTTTGTTTTTTTTTTAATCAAGTAAATGCAGCCTTAGTCTTGAATCTTGAATCTTACCGACCCAGAACCTTTGAACAACAGTGAATGTTACTTTATTGGTCATTCAATAAAAACTGTCAATCAACACACCAAATTATGACTATTTTGTTGCTGTTGTTCTCTTTGGTTTCTAGACTGTTCCAGAAATGCTCTGATAGTAAAGGGTGAGTTGTGGCCTTGTGCAGTAACAGCATGTTTTTGTGTGTTCACGCTGCTACATAGGCCTCTGCCCTACACTATATTAAGCACTGACACTCACAATGTACTCAGTGCTATGATCCCCATGGGCTGCTGTAAAAACGTTTAACTGCAAAAAAAAAATGTGTCAACTACGTACAGATATGCTCACTGCTGGCTAATTTAATCTGTTCAAACGTGTCTTTCTGGAAAGATCCAGAGCATGAGAAGCACAGATGTACTTCTGCAATGCAGAAGTACTGTGCTCTCATAGGTAAGTCACATGAGTGGAAGTGATTGAATGCGCAACTCATTCTTAACCAATTGAGACTTCCCACATAAGATAATTTGTTAGTTGTCATGATAACTAATTGTTGTCATGATAACTAATTGTGGTTTGAATAATATTCAGGACATGCTGTTTTACTAACCCTTCAATACTTTGTCTTGTATGCTTTGTCAAAATGCTGAATGGCTAAACTCCATTAAATATTTTTTTTTCCATCCTAATGCATTTTTTTTAAGGAATTAATTGGACTACTAACATTTTTTGAAAAATATGTTTACAGGAGCAAATCAGTGAGTGACATCACCGATAGTAAGACGAACCTCGGCACCTCGGCAGTGGAGTTGCGCTTCGAAGAACTGCAGAAGATGCGTAATCGGATTAAGGAGAATGAAGATAAGTGGCAAGATGTGAGTATCGGATCACATGGTTTTGTTATTGATAATATTCATAGCTGCAGATGTTCGGCCTGTGAAAGTTGTGACTAGTAATATGTCCTCATAAGGACCTTGACTACTTCGAGTCACATCAATTATAATAAGTAGTCTGTAACTGTTCAGTGATACTTCGTAGTGTGAATGTGGTTGGACTTAGCTTCAATACAGCATCTAGGTCATATACGTCCCTCTAATTCACACGGGAAAAGAAGTCGGGTGGAGCCAAAAAGGCAAAATAGGACACCGGCAAAATCTAGTCCTCCCTCACTCCTCAATCTGTCCCTCGTATCTCTCCACCCTTCCCCTACTCTGTCCCTCCTACCATTACTGCTTATGAATAAGCACCTGTGCTCCAGTTATGGAGGCTGAGCGTCTTTCTCCTCATCCCTGCAGGATCTTTCAAGGTGGAAGAATAAGCGCAGGAGTGTGAATTCTGAAATTGTGAAGAAGAAAGAAGAGAGAGAACAGATCGAGCAGATCACTTCAAGCGACACCAGGAAATCAAAGACCTTGAAGGAAATGCATGATGAGAGGTGAACATACATTCCTTCAAATCAAGCTGTAGTTGTGTGTCTCTAAAGCTTAAACAGTACAAAACTGTGTATTTAATGGAGTATTTAATTTAAATTATTATTTGGTTTCGATTTATTTTATTTTCCTAGTTGTATTTTTTGAAATTGTGTGTGTATGGTGAACTATGATGAAATGTTGCTGTCACTGTTTGTCATTTCTGTTGTCTGTTGTTAGTGCGGAGAGCGTAGTTTGTTCTACTTTCTCTGATCCGTTGTCCGCTCATTGTAAAAGTGTAATCTAATCGTGGTTCTTGTCCTGCCTCCCTCCTGCTCCTTTTCAGAGAGAGCCGTGAGCAAAGCAACTACAGGGACGTCTTTAACTCTGTCAATGATGATGTCTTTGAAGAACCTGCACCCCAAACCAGAACTCTGCCAGCACGTAGCTACACCATTGACACCCCTTATGCCCCCACGGAAAAACCTTCACTACCCTCCATACCATCTATGAGAGAAAAGGAACCTGTGGCTGGCACCCTGGCATCACATCAGCCAGATTTGCCTGATCGCTCTAGCCCAGATATCCCACTTACAATGAATAACAGCATTCTGGAGAGCAAAACAACAACCCAGAACCTTCTGGATGATCCAGTTCCTGATTTCTCCTACAGCAACACCAGCCTGATTAAGCCCACCAGCATGATCAAGCCCATCAGCGTCAGTAAACCCAGCAGCGTTCTCAACAGCTCAGACTCGATTAGCAAAACTAAGCCAATTGAAAACTACAGCAGCACTAGCTCATTGTATAAGCCCAATTCAATGGATACAAAGCAGTCGGGCCTGGATCAAGTTTCTGCCTCCCTCCCCAGGAGCTACCAGAGATCAGATAGCGCAAGACTCACCTCTGTAGTTACGCCCAGGCCATTCGGCACACAGGCCACCCGAATAAGCTCTCTTCCCAGAGCATTCACGGTGAGTTGGCCCTGTTTGGTCTCAAAAAAAAAAAAAAAAATCATGATGCCGTTTGTCTTTTTTATTAAATGAAGGTCTTTGAGAACATTATGCTACCTAATCGATACAGTGAAGTTCTGATGTAATTAGAGCTCATAGGAATTATAAAAAATCTGAATGAGTTACAATACTAGAATAAAACTGTACGCTTTGCCCAAAAATCTGGCTTCCACATTACAGTGTCATTAAAGAGTGCAGTGGTTCTGCAAGTAAAAAATATTTTTCTCCATAGATTTTTTTTGTGATAACTTATAAACTGTTAAATACCTTCTATGTGTGACAAGGTTGTTACTTGTTTTATTAGTTATAATTGATGGTATTTGCTTTTGTTGAAGCCATCAACTTATAACTCATTAACAGACACTTTTTTTTAATTCCTATGGGCAAAAAAAAATGTATTTGAATACCTCCAGAATCAATCCAACTGAACAGTGGACTGTTGCACTCTATTCCTCTGATTGACTTTTCCCATAGTTAAAATGATCAGTCATGATCTCTTCTGTTTTATTCACTATAACTGTAAGTAATGAATACATCTAAAACAGTGAAGAGTTCAAATCGGTTATGAAAATACTTACAGTATATGGCATCAAACCTTTTAGATGAATGACTCACTTAAGCGCACCAATGGAGAGACAGACAGCCTCAAGAAACCTACAGTTTTCAACCGCTATGCTCAGTATGTGAAAGAAGATGAGGATATGTCGCAGGAAAGCCCTAAGCAGAGCAGTGACGAAGAGGAGAGATCAGAGGAGAGAACCCCGTCTCCTGTCCCTCCGATCAACAAGGTGTTGCCCCTGTCTAAATCTTCATCCCCGCTCATCTCTCCTATTGAGGCAAGACATTCCCGAGCAACTACAAATTACAATAACATTACATTTTCTAAAGCAAAAGCAAATTTCACATGCAGAGAAAGACACACAAGCACTTTATATTCAGTAAATCTGACTAAATCCAGAGCATTTAAAAAGTTTATAGCGACATTTTGTGGTCTGGGTAGATTAATGGAAATTTGGATGTCAAGTTCCTACTCCTCAAAGTAATTATTACAATAAATCTCAATGGCACACTCCCGAAACCCAGAACTCACTTCATGTGAAATCCCTTCACTTTCTGTGTATAGCTAACCTGTCTGTGTCTTCCAGGTGGACTACAGTGAGATGAGGATCAGCCTAAACCAGAAACCCAACAGTAGCCGGGACTTTGGCTTCCAGAACGACTGGGACTCCACTGGGGTCCGTGTCAAATCTGTAGTTCCAGGTAAAATAAACTGTTTAAGTCCTCTGAAATAGAAGTGATGTCAAAAGTGATCTCATGTGCTGGCAGTGTATTAATGAAGCACCAAGGTCATGCTCTTCCTCCAGCTTCAGACAACGTCTGCTAATCATAAAACACACACATGTACTGTCCTGCTACAGTATATAGAGCAGATTTTTTTCTAGGTTAAATCTGATGAGCCTCTAGTTGCCCAAGATAGCAATGGAACAAAATGTGCATGAAACAAAATGTATTGTCACAGTTGGGGCATCATTGTCATTCCTATCATTGTTGTGTGGATTTTTTTTTTTACATTTGTTTTGTGTATCATGCATGTGTGCAATGCAGGCAGCACAGCGGAGCTCGGTCAGGTTAAGGTTGGAGATGAGATCCTTGCGGTGAACGGGCACCGGGTGGCAGACATGAGCTATAATGAGTGGAAGAGCAGTATGGAGGAGGCCTTGCAGCAGGGAAGTCTGCTTATGGACATCCGCAGACATGGCAAGAATAGTAAGTCCCCGCCATCTCATCGAGTGCAGCACTGACTACATCAAGCCTTGGTAAAGCTTTTAACAAAACAAAACATCACCAGACTTCTTATTGTAACATTTTGCTACATTTATTGCAGACTAAGATCCTCTGTTCTTGGTTGACCCTGTAGTTAAAGTCTATAGAGTAGCAACACAAAGTGTGTATCATCTATGTTCAAACTTGAAAATGTTTGTCAGTTGTGTGTTTGGCTTTTTTGTTGCTGATATTCTTTTTTTCTGGGTTTTTTTTCCCATTTAAAGGAAAAGTTCACTCAAAAAAAAAATTTAAATACTATTCATATTTTCAGACCTGTATGCTGCTGTTTTTGTGTGTGATTTTTTAAAAAAAGACAATTTTATTAAAAATATATTTGTATGCTTAAATTAGGTATAGTGGACTGTGTCAAGTTCCAAAAAGGACAAAACTTGAAAATAGTCCATATGACATTTGTTCACTATATCCTGACTGTTTATTTTGTTTTGTTTTGTTTTATTTAATTTAAGTTTATTTTAAATGGAGCACATATTTTAGTTATATAAAATAACCGTTTTTCATTTTTGGGTGAACTATTCCTTTGTCTACCTTTCCCTGGTGTGGTTCTTCAAATGTAGTGTGTTTGTATTTTTCCTGAACAGTGCATTATCTTAGTTTCTAAAGTAAGTATTTTCAGTGTTTACTAACAGACTTATAGTTTGTGACTGAAGGCAGATCAGAGGGCATCTGTAAGCTTGTCTGTAAACATGATGTCTGTGGAGCTCATTCTGATTGCATGGCAGGGGAAGGTGGTCTGTCTTTTTTATCCCAACATTTTAGAAGTATTTACCAGACACATTCAGTTTTTACTATCTGTCAGTAGTCATAAATCTCTTTTCATAGTTTGCTAATTCTGTGTTTTTGAAATGAATGGTTTTGTTGACATGCCACAATCAGACTGGGGCAGAGACCTACCTTCCCTTCCATTTAAAAGCCATAAGACCATCAATCTGACCAGTCTGGATCCTCTAGGTCCCTCTGAGTCATACCTCAGCACCAACCTGGATTTCACATCCCAACAAACCAAGGACAACGTTGTGAAAACCATGAATGTCAGCTCACAGCCAGGCAATGTGAGCAGACTTATTAATCACCTACTATATATATGGCACTTTATTTGTTTATTTATTTCGTTTTTTTGTTGGTATATGAATGTATTTTAAAGCTTCTTTCATAATGTTAAACTAGTTACTTTTTTCCACAGAATAATGGTTCAAATGGAATAAATGGTGGTTTCTATGAGGATTCAGAGAATATGAATAATAAAGGTAAATTACTATTTCAACTAATTGCTTGGAAATATTCTGTAAAGTTTTTTTGTTGTTGTTGTATAAACGCATGTTTGCAGAAAATTTGCTAATTTTGCTCTGAGGTTGTTTAATAGCTTGACAAGAATGCTTGTTTTTGATTAACTTAAAACATTGTGATAAAGATTGTTTAAAATGAGATCAGCTATCCAATTCTATGTACGTACTGTGTATATATATATATATATATAATGTATGAACTTAGTATGTGCATAGAATTTGGATGGCTGATCTCCTATATAGTGCCATTTTTTTCTACCAAACATTTTTAATATACTGCCCCAGGACAAATTCATCTTCTTCTAACATTTTTATCTCCCGTGTAGAATCTGAATCCATTTCTGTGAAAAACTTAAAAAGGAGATCAGAGTTTTTTGAACAAGGTAACAGAACAGCATCAGTGCAGTGCTGATGCGTTCAGGCTTTGTGTTTCGGGGGCTGTGGGTAAACCGCTAAGTCTTCATCCTGCCATCCTCCTCTCCTCTCTCTAGCAGGAGCCCCTCATAACCTCTGTGCTCTTCCCTCAGGCTCTGCAGGGCTCACAGTCAGTTCTCTGGTCTACCTCTGTGGTAAAGGGGGGTTGAGTGTGCAGTGTCCACTTCCATCTTGTGCACTGCTGACATGCTGTCTACAGGAGCCAGAGTACTTTAAAAAGTAGAGAACAAACTAGTTTATCTAAAAGTGGCAGCTCTGCCATCGTTCATCACCGATAATCTTCCCTCCAATAGACTGTAAACCAAAGACAGAGTCCGTGATTTTAACTGGATCATTTGTAAATCTGATTCATTAATTAAACTTGTGAACCAGATCCACTAATTCATCAAAAAGATTCTGCTCGCGCTGACAGTGCGAACAAACCTTAACCTTTGTAAATTGTTTTTAAAATATATCTTCATTAGTCATTCTCTGAGGGCTCTGAAAAACAGCATGTCAGGACCATACCAACATACAAAGCACTTTAAATAAAAGTAGGAAAGTTATCTTGCTGATACCTTACTTACAGTCCCATATTAATACAATTTCAGAGAGTTTCCCCACAGGTATACATGAAAGAATTTAGGATATGAGACTGTTTTACCTTCACACACTCAAGTCATTCTTGCTGTATATTCTTGATTGTAGAAGCAGCTCAGGAAAATAAATCAGTAATCAGTGTGGAGTGTGTTGGTATTGTGTTGTGAATGCCAATAGTGCATGCTGTGCTGGGCATGGATGTGGGGTTTGGTTTTACTAATAGCCAGTGCTTCTGCATGTAGCATTGCATATGGGGAGGGGACTGGCCAAAGGTGTTTATCTACGAGATGTGTTTTTGCATTATTCATTTGGTTTGTTCATTGAAGTCTTTGCATGCATTTGTTTATCTGAGTCTGCATGTGGTTCTAATTTAACATTTATTTATGGTACTGTTGGGTTATGTGTTTCTTATTTTAATAGATTATATGTTATCAGATATTGGGAAGGAATGCAGTTCATGTGTTCTCTTCATGCTATGATGAAGCTTTTGTTTTTAATGTAGGCCTAAGAAGCATCTAATTGTAGCTCTTTTTTACAGGTGGATCTGATACAGCAATATCGAATGTAAGTTGAGTTCCAATGTTTTTCTTTTAATCCAGCCACTGTTGCTAAATCGCATATGATCTGATTAATTAGGGTTTTGGATCTGTGACATGCCAAGATATTGTAAAGGTTATCTGGCATATTTTATTTGACCAGTGGTTGGCTCCAATAATTCAAAGCTTTTTCTGTGTGTGTAGCTTCCCATGCCCTCTATCTCTACATCCACTACACGCTGGTCCTGGGACCCAGAAGAAGAGCGCAGACGCCAGGAGAAGTGGCAGAAAGAGCAGGAGCTTTTGCTGCAGGTGAATATTATATGAGCTCAACCGTTGTGCTTTTTAGAGTTGTGGCCTAAATATGGGTTATGTTGTCGGGTAAAAGAAATATATATAGCGTTTAAATGAATAGTTGAGATTATTTTTTTCCTAAAGTTATAGAAACTAGTTCTGGAAGAAGATATGTATTGTGCTGCTGATCTTGCAAACTCAAACTGTTTTTCTCTTGTTCTCCTTGTGCAGGAGAAGTACAGAAAAGACCAAGAAAAACTTGATGAAGAGTGGAAAAAGGCACAGCAAGATCTTGTCAAAGAGGGTCCCAAAGATTATGAGGAGGTATGTTATTTATGTCATGTCATAGGTCAGCATTTTATTTTATGGATGCCTCGTCAATAAGTAGACCATGTTCACGGGAGAAAGTATATTCCAAAAGAAATATAACAGAATTTATAAAAATAATTACACATATATGCCGTAATTTCACATAGCTACATAAGGGCATGCAAACAAGACATGCATTTTTTTTTCCTTCAGATTTTGTAAGTGGTATGTAAATATATGTTATTGTTACTGTCCAACAATTCTTTGATTGTTGTTGAACAGGAGATGGAGCTGAACAGACACAACCTCTACTCCCCTCTTCCCTCCATCAGACAACCTACTGTTTCATGGGAAGCGCAAGAGGCCTCCAGATTGGCCCAGAAAGAGGAGGAAAGAAAGAAAATAGAGGAGGAAAGGCTCCGTTTAGAGGAAGAGAGGAGAAAAAGTGAGGAAGAGAGGAGAAAAAGAGAGGAAGAGAGGCTGCGGTTAGAGGAAGAGAGTAGAAAACGAGAGGAACAACAGCGTCTTGAGGAAAAGAAGAGAGAAGAAGAGAGGAGGAGAAGAGAAGAGGAGAGGCAGCGTTTAGAGGAAGAGAGGAGGACGAAAGAACAAGAGCGCCTTGAGGAACAGAGGAAGAAGAGAGAAGAAGAGCGCCTCCTTCAGGAAAAAGAGAGGAACAGAAGAGAGGAGGAATGGAGGCAACAGGAAGAGCAGAAGAGTTTTCAGGATCAAGAGTGAGTTTCTGTGTTTCAACAATCATTTGCTGTTTTCTCGTTTTAATTTTATGTCCCATCTTTCATTATATGTGTCATGCTAATATGAATGTATAATTTTCTCAAGCATGCAGTTTAAACAGGTTTTGTTTTTGTTTTTTTACTTCCAGAACAATAACATAAAGGAATGGCATTGAATAGCATGCTTGATAAATATATCTATTAGTCCTGCTTTAAATACCAAAGTAACCTGACTAAACTAACATTGTCTGTGTTAGGGCTGGGCGGTATGACACTATAATTTTGTAATACATTCTATGCAATGGTAGATACTGTATCTATATATTATGAGCATGTCTGCTTTGCATTATTTACACATTAAGAGCAATGAAGAAACATGGAATAATGCGAAAATACACAGTGACATTAGTAAGAAATTAGTGGAATTAGTCTTTGATGAATTAACATTAATAGGAACAGCATTTATGTAACTGAAATTATTTTACTGTCAACGTATTAACCCCAAACTTTTGAACACTATAGTATAATAAATCCGTAAGATTATAGAATCTTTTTTTTTTACAGCAATAATAAATATATTGTGATGAATGCTGTTGCTGCGATACAAGAAAATCATGGCACGATTTAAGATTTTAGTCCTGCTTCCCAGCCCTAGTATGGATTTTACTCATGCATTAATAATCACACTAATTTATCTTCTATTAATGACTGTGTGAACATCTGCTTGTCTGTGCTGATTCTGCTGTTTGGCCACAGTAAGGTGGACTCCTTTGGCTATACCAATGTTTACCCTGAGTTATCCTACTCGCACAGGTAAATTGGACTCTGCTGTTTGCACTACCATTTTTATTTAACAAAGTTGTAAATGAATGCAATGCTTTCAGGCTATGTGTCCATACAGAAGTTATACATTGATAAGATCTTTCATCTTAATGTTTATCGGACTGAGTAATCGTATTCTCTCTTTCGGTTTGGTTTGCAGGTCCATTTCCAAATCTACTCCAGAACTTGATGAGGTCGCAAAACCAGATATTAAAGGTCAGTGCAGCTTTTATCTTTTCCTCTAACCCTTTATGCGCGTCTATTGTTGGTTTGACAAATAAGGAGCCGCTGAGACAGCATTCCTGAAGAGCGTGTTGTCAGTGTGCCACATGTTGTAAGGGCTGGAGTTAAATCACACAGACAGTACAGTGCTGTAGAGTCTGTGGCTCTCTTCAGGTGTGTACAGCAGACACAGGGGGTTGGCAGGATGGCTGCTGGAGGAGGAATTGAGGCGGAAGAAAAACCCTCAGATCCAGAGAAAGGAGGCAGCGAGTGAGCTAGAGCTTGAGAGGAGGAGCATCCTCAATGCCATGAAATACAGAGACCCAGAGAGAGGTGCGGCGGCTCGGACCAACGCCAATCAATCAGCTCAACCAATCAGCTTGGCCTTATTTTCTGCAAATTTGACAGATGCAATGTCATCAAAATCAGATGTAATCGAGTCTGTGTCCACGTGATCAGTGTGCATTTGATTAAAAACTCTAATAGAAAAACAGTGGGGTCAAACAGCCTGAGAGAAATGTTTCTATTTTTAAATTGTTTTAATGAAATGACTTTTTTCAAATGATCTAATACCATTTTAAAAGTGTGGTGTTAGTAAGTTTGTTTGTTTTTTTGTTTACAAAAAAAGAATACATTTATTCTCCAAGATTGCATTGTTAAAATATTCTATATCAAATAAATATTTTTTTTTAAACTTTCTATAATCATTAAAAAAATGGTCACAGTTTTCTCGAAAATATTAAGATGCACAGTTTTCACCTTTGATAATTATAAGAAATGTTTCTTGAGCTCCAAATCGTCATATTAGAATGATTTCTGAAGGATCATGTGACACTGAAGACTGTAGTAATAGTAATTGTAGAACTGTAGAACATAGTAATTTTGAAATTGTAATAATATTTAACAATATTGAATGTGTTTGATCAAAACAGAAAAGCAGAAAAGTCTTAGTAAGCTAAGATCTTTGAAACATTTTTTTGAAAAAAATCGTACCAACCCCAGACTTTTGAAAGGTTGTGTATATTATCAGTAAAAAAAATAAAATAAAAAAAAATGCTAAGTTAAAATGCCAGTTTAAGGATGTCTTAATTTTGGTTATCCTCGTTTTGCTTTAATAACAGCAACACAAGCTGCGTGAACTTTATGTAAAAAAAAAACCTGATGATCTTGTTTTTCAGCATAATTTGAAATGATTCTGTCTGTGACTTTTTTTTTTTATTATTATTGCCAGGCTTGCATTTATATTCAATATACATTTATATTGAATCCCAGATTTTCACTGTGATCTTTCTAAGGAAATTCAGACCCCACTATATATATATATATATATATATAATCAATTGAAGATTATCTGAAATCAATTGCTCTTGATGTGAAATTACACACATTGATGTTTATCTATTACAACTTGTCACTATGTTATTAATGGTAATTTTTGTCTGAGCAGCAAGCGGTGGTCTGGGTGAGGTCAGCAGGGACTATAAGAAAGAGCCTCTATCTCGGGCTGAATTGGAAAGGCAGCAGATCCTTCAGGAAATGAAGAAAAAAACTTCCTTGAACACAGACAACAGCTGGATTCGCCAGCAGAGCTCTGCCAGTGTCACTGCAAAAGAACCAGTCGATCTTCCCATTAGGAGGTTAGTATTTGCCAATTTTTCTTACTTTGTAAAACAATGAGGGAAAAAAAACTGTCTCAGTGCTCCTGTAAAGATACAACTGATATTACTTGCGAGCTACAAACATTGACAAACTCCCTTTGCTTGCAGGGGCGAGTCTCTTGACAACCTTGATATGCCTCGTTCCTCCTGGAGATCATCATGGAGCACATCTAACAGCACCTCGTCCATACCAGACTACAGCCGTCCTCATTCTGCCCTCTCTGGCTCCTCGTCGTACCATAGTGGACGTCCCGGGTCTGCCAATCTAGAGGCTTCTCAGTCCATGAGTTCCCTTAAGCAATCCTGGTCTTCATCCACAACCACACCAGAGCCAGAGCCTCGAGCTACACCACGAAATAGGTATTCTTCGCTAAAAGAGATTGTTATTGGTTTCTAAATACTCTAAAACAGTGGTTCTCAACTAGTGGACTGATGACAGCAGAATAATAAAATGCAAATAATTCTGGATAGCAAAACTACAGACTTCAGCTTTTAAAGGATAGGAGAAAAAAAAACTTCCATCATTTTTTTTTTGTTGACATCAAACATTGACATTGCGTTTCGGAAAATAGCAATGGTGAAAAACTGTTTAACTCCACAATTTAGTACCTCACAGTTCACAGTCTTTGAAATATGTTTTAGCAATACATTTTTAACATTTATAATGTTGAGAATTGTTTTGTAGAATTGTCTTTACAGGGACTTTAAACTGCAAGTGCATTAGTACAAAATACATATTTACTTTGTTTTAAGGAAAATTCTGTAATTTTCTCCCCCTCATGTCATTCTAAATCTGTATTTCTTTTCTTCCGTGGAAGACAAAAGAAAATAGGTGTTAATTAAACAGTTTTAGTTCCCATTTACGTCCATTGTAAGGACAAAAATATAATGAAAGTCAATATTCATATTTAATATATAATTTGTCCTCAGTGCTAATAGGCTGATAAATGAAATGGATATCATAAAGGTACACTCAACTTGTTATGACACACCTTAAGAATGTTTTGTTGACATGATGAACAGTTTAGATACTATGTTGGGCTGCCACTTGATGTCATCAAGCCAAACCATTTGATAACCACGGACCTAAACAATTCCATCCACCCCCATGTGTCTCCCATATTTTTATTGTCTTCAAAATGTGTTTGGACCCACATAAGCCATGGGATGTGTGCAAGTGTGTTGCTTGGCCCTCAGATCATGTTTTGTGTAATCTAGGTCAGTGAGTGGCAGGAAAATCTGTTCGGTCTGTAGTACACCACTGGGCAAAGGAGCAGCCATGATCATCGAGTCCCTGGGGCTCTGTTTTCATTTGAATTGTTTCAAGGTGAGCTTTCAGCTACTCCGAGCTCAGGTCCAGCCTGGCTTCATCAGTGACTAACCTGACTAATCTGCCCTGCCTGCTTTTACGATTATTCTAATCAGTTGATGTGTGCACATATAAACTCAGCCATCAAAATATCAACCCAGAGAATCAAAAGGCCAATTCTAACTCTTGCTGATTTGTGGATATCGGCACTGACATCTCTGCCCTGTGACTTTCCTTTCTTTCTGAAAAGACTGTATTTTGTTTCTCTCAAATGTAAAGAAACCATCAAGAAGAAACCATGTGCATTTTTAAAAGGCTGGACTACACAAATCCATGTCTGCCATGATGGAATAATTGTGATTTTATAAACGCCAGAGGAGAACTGGCACCCGACTGAGCCTGGGTGGAGCTGCTTTGATGCAATCTACATTGAGAAAGAGTTATATAAATATACTTGCCTTGATTTGGCTTCAATAATAGTTGTACTATGAAGATTTTGATTGCAACTGTGTCGAAAAATCCCATGACAAAAACGCACCTTATTCACTAACCACATATAGTCTTAACTTTACCAGTTACCCTTTATGTGCTGGATTAGCACTACACCGTGGCATATTTAAATAAAAACTAAATTGTGTAAACACACCTAATTTATATGCAAATTAGAATAGAACAATAAATTGCACCGTTTTCACTAAATTCTATGTACTATTTGACTGGTGCAGTAAACATTGTGCTATTATAAAGTTGTACCGGGATTTAAAAGGCATGTTTGCGTATGTGTACAATTTGCAAGGGTAATTCATCAAATGATGATGAAACATGTATTATGATGGGGGACATGTATCCAAAAATGTTGTGTAATCAACCATACTTTCTGTGTGCTATTTAACTGTCACAGTGGCCCAGTTAAGAACTCCAGATTGCAGTAATCTGCTGCATCTTCCATAATTTAGCACTCAAAAAATGGTCTGCAAGACTGCGCATAGTGCATTTTGCACATTTCTGTAGAAAAATCGGGTGCTAAAACGGCACATGCAAGTGTGTGTAAATAAACAGCGCAATTAGTAGGCATTCCTTTTTAATTCCCTTTACCTTCAGAGCAGCCATATGGCTCATCTAGAGCTTTATCATACCTCGCTCATACTCGTCATTCTCCAAATGTCAGTCATATGTATTTCCGCTCATCCTTTTATTCACACTGCATTGTCCTCTTTCTAATCTTGTTGCCGGGTTATGTCTGGTTCTTTGAGCTGGTGTTACAACTTCAGTTTCATATCCTCTTATGCTGCTGCCTTTGACCTCAAGCTAGGATTCTCTCTCTCACTCTTAGATGGAGGTGAGTGTATGATATGGCAGTGCATTGAGAATTCTCACCGTCTAATAGTGTGTTCTTTCATCTTGCGTTTACAGTGCTCTGTCTGCAAGTCTGATTTGGGAGGCTCAGAAGCAGGTGCAGAAGTCAGAATACGAAACCAACAGCTCTATTGTAACTCCTGCTATGTGCGACTCAAAAGTAGGCCAGATATCTCTACAGTATGATTTCTCTACAGTAGTGATTTCTGATCTTCTTTATGACTATATTTGTTCTTTTTCTAGCTGGGCAGCCTACAGCCATGTGATCTTGCTGTACTGCAGCAGATTGAGGAAGAACCAATCACAGACAAGGAACTGTAAACGCTAAAGAGTGTGTTGGAGATGTGATAACCATTGAGTGATTCAGCCAGCCTTGATAATTCAATGAACTTCTATTCTTCCTTTTTTACTTATGAGAGGGTGAGATTCCTAAGGTTATGTTTATTTGAAAGTATTAGTAATTGTTTGTACAAAAGGGACATGCATGTACCTGAATATGAACTATGCATTTGAAAAGATGAATCATACACTGTCTTTTTCATCATCACTGATCGAAAGATTCTTATGATTTCTGGCTGGTTAACAAATATTTGTAAGGTCCTAAAAGTGTTTATATTAATTAATAGCAATATGCTATTTTATTGTTTTTCCTTGTCTTGGTTTATCCTGCAGTATGTGTTATATAAGGGTTTGCTGACTAAAATATCCTGTTAATATTCCACTTCATCTGTGTGCCTTTTTGTTATTTGATGGGGAAAGATAATTAAGTATAAATGTATTAAGAATTTATTTAAAATGGCATGGTTAGTAAGCAGCACTCATTAGTTATATACTGGTAGCATCTATTTTATGTATCTGAGCAATTTCTCTGCTGGGGGAAAAAAATAATCTAGAACAAAAGCAGTGTACTCACTAATAATTGTAAATAAAATTTACCAAACTATGTCATTCCTGGGTGTTATTTAGTTGACTAATCTCTCATTAAAGGGATAGTTCTCCCAAAAATGAAAATTCTGTCAGTATTTACTCACCCTCATGTTGTTCCAACCGCGCGAGACCTTCGTTTATCTTCAGAACATGGATTAAGATATTTTTGATGAAATCTGAGAGCTGGATCACTCCTCCATACTAGTCCATAGGCTTCTTAAGGGATCGAAACTTGCCGACCTCGAAAAGTTATTAAAGACATTGTTAAAATAGTCCAAGTGACTACAGTGGCTCAATCTTAAGTTTATTAAATGACGAGAACACTTACGAAGTTTGTTTTGGCCTGATTCTTGTTTGAAACCGATTTTGTTTTGTTTGTAATGACTTCACATAAGTTCGTTCTTCGTTTTCGCTTAAAGTTTATCAAGACCTCATGTTTCTATAAGCAAATAACACAATACAATAATAATGAAAATAATCAACTTAAAGAGCACTAAATGCATAAATTCATAAATTCACCATAAATTTTATGGTGCTACCACAGACCATAATTTATATATATTGAGAAAAATGTGGGTATGTATGTGTATATGAAGAGTTCAGATGCAAAAGCCTCTAAGTGCCATTTGAAATTTTCTTCTAGAATGATAATTTTTATCAAGCTTGTATATTTAAGTTCAGTGATTTCACTTAAATGGCAATGGTAATTACCTATTAATTGTTATTTAAGTGAAATTGCTGAACTTAAATATACAAGTTTGATAAAAATCATCATTAAAGAAGAAAATTTCAAATGGCATTTAGAGGCTTTTGCATCTGAACTCTTCATATATAGTGTGTTTGTGTGTGTGTGTGTGTGTATATATATATATATATATATATATATATATTACGGATGGAGCTGAACCTGAATACGGTATTCGGAAAGGCACAAATAAAGTGTTTATTACAAATACTAATTTCGAAAAAATACTTTAAAAATATTTGAATTCGGGAACAAGAAAAACTTCATCATAAAGCTTCCTCATGAGACTGCAGTGAGTGAGTGACGTTCAGGAAGAGGTGACTGACACAGGCTGCTCCACATAGCAACAGAGAGGTCTCGGCTGAGCAAAAGAACACTTAAGTGATGACTATTTTTGTTGAATAGATTTTTGTACCTTAAATGAGTTCCGGAGGCAGTTTATAACTTTCGGTAAGCGGAGTTTGATCGGGAGATGCACGTCAGAGGCACCAGCACCATTAGATGTGCACTTGCCGCAGCACAGCCTATGAGTGAACCAGACACTCAATGTTAGCTGTGCAGCTGCAAATGTGTTTTACATAAAAGCTTCAGTAAATCGGGGAAAAGGAGTTATTCCTTTTCAGTAAATCGAGGAAAAGAAAGCTTTTTATGTAAAATGCATTTGCAGCTAGCACATTAAGTGTCTGGCTCACTCATCCAATGGCGCTTGTGCCTTTGACATCCAACCAATGAGAGAGCCCTATGTAAAGATAAGGGGGCGTGGCCTCGAATACAATTATTTTTCCCCCCTCAACAAATACAGATACAAATACCGGCTGCTTTGCACACCCCTAATATATATATATATATGTATAAGACCACTTAACTTAGTGATTGTTATCAGGATGTAAAGAGACTTTCAACCTGCACTTTCAACAAATTGCCTACCCTGCCTTTAAGTATGCGTGAAAGCATACTTAAGACTGTTTCTGATTTCCCTCCCACATCGTGTTGTTTCTAATCGAAGCGTAGTCAGCTCCAGGAGGCGCTGTTAGACTAGATTAACAGTTTTTACTGACCTGTGGAACATGCATAAAGAGATCTTTGAAATTCATTTGAAGAGGTGATACAGATGTCCGATCTCATTGTCTGAGTGGTTGGCAGGATAGAGGGTTTCCTCCACCTCCAAGCTGGCCCACCTGCTATCTGGACTGATGCTAATTTTAGTCCACATGATTGATGTCAGCCTTGTCTTGTTGCCATGGTTTTAGTTTCTCACTGAACATCACCTGCAAGGTGCTACACTTCTCATCTGACATGTTTGGTAACATTTACAGATAAAGGAAAAAATCATTCGTACCTGCATCTAAAAATGCTATTTTTTCTTGTTAGGCTAATTAATTTAAGAAATGTACTTTTTTATTGTTTATTTATAATTAATTGTTCCATGTCCTCTGTTTCATCAAAGACATTAGTTTGATGCATTTATTTGTATACTATTATAGTCTGTATTAATAATGCAAATTTCTTTTAAAAATGATCATCTTTAGTAATTTTGTGCTTTTTTTTCTTTTCTTTTTTTTCTTTTTTTTCTTTTTTCTGCATGAATTGGAAGCTGTGATAGTCTTTTCTTCCCAAATGTATATCTAAGTGAAACAGCTTGTTGAACAAGAGAAAATGTTATTGGATGGTTGTGGTTGCTATAGCTGTGATGTCATGTGAGTGTTGGCTTTTTTCAACTTTAATGTGTTTTTGGCTTACTACTTTTAATACTTACCAATATTTTTTGTATAAAGCTTCTTTAAATAAAGCTTCTTCCAGCAATTTGAAAAGGATTGTTGGAGGACCTTTTGATCAATTAGATCTGATGTGTCCCAGACTGTAGCTCTAGGCAATACTTTGGGTCGATTAAGAATAAAGAATGTTCCCATTTTGTTCTAGCGCTGTGGAGGCGAATGTACACTTGCTTTTTTTATGCAGCTCACATTTAGTTTTTCAACACTGAGTTTCCTAAAGGTCTCCCATTTAATGCAGAGGTCTGTTTGGATTATAGTGGTCCGGCTTTAGTTAATTGGACAGGTAGTTGAGTTGTATCCCCCTTTTCTAGTGTTTTGTCATGGCTTGTTGTTATCAGTCTCTCTGGAGGCTTCTGTTGTTTTGTGGAGGTGGGTAATACGCTTATTGACTAAAGTGGCCATTAAACCAGCACTTAGTAACCTGGCAGTGACATGCAGCACAACACTCAATACTGCATCGTTTCTCCTCCGCACTTTAGAGGAAAGCACACACATGAGAAGCGAGTGGCTAGCTGACTGAAGTGGATGAGGGAAGGATTCTTGCAGGTGTGAGAATCAAAGGGACTTCTTTAAAGAGGGGCAAAGCATCCACTCTTCAGTCAAATGGAGATTTGGTGTGGGGGTAGAAAGTGATTAATTTTTTTATATCAGGACCTAAGCCGAGTCCTATCACTCTAGGCGCTGATTTCTAATTTCCCTTGAATGGCATACTTCAAAGATCCAATCTGCCTTCTATGATACTGTACTGGTCAGTCTAACGCTTCGCCTCCAATGAAATGTCCTGGCCCTTCATTGTCAGTGACATGGAAAATGTTTCACTGCTCATAAATGCTAAGATGGCCACAGTTGGAGGAAGCAGATGTGCTTGAAGTTATTATTGTTTTGTTTTTTTTAGCCTGCAGTGATTTCAGCTGCCATTGTGCTGAGCTGGGCATGGAGGTGAACATATAAATCACAAGTTATACTTAAATGATGTTGACGAGCTCAGGAGATCAAGTATGGTGTGAAGTTTAGGGTGTATTGGCAAATTAGATTTGCGGCAGATTAATCACACTTTTAAAGTTTCCCTGCGGTTTGGCCTCTCATTTACATGAAAACCCTGTTTTTTATCACAGAAAATAATTATTTCTAAAAACTCTGGCAAAGTGGAGATTTCTGATAACGCCGGTTATGTGTTGCCGTGTCCACTGGGAGCAACAGAGTCTTAGGATCTGAAACGTCACAATATGCGCCAGAAAATGCTTAACGTCATGTGAGCACCCAAAGACCCGGTCCGAACTCCAGGCACGATTCGTCGACGGAAAATGCTTGCAGATCCCCTACCCTCTTAAGAGGCCAGAGCCAACAGGAGAGCTGTCTTCATAGCCACGATATTTAACTCTGTTGTATTTAAAGGGTTAGTTCACCCAAAAATGAAAATGAAGTCATTAATTACTCACCCCCATGCTGTACCAACCCCGTAAGACCTTCGTTCGTCTTCGGAGCACAAATGAAGATATTTTTGATTAAATTTGAGAGCTGTATAACTACCACATTGGCTCCTAAGGGACTGCCTCTTGACGGCCCAGAAAGTCAATGAAGAAAATGTTTAAATATCCCAAGTGACTACCGTGGCTCAACTATAAGTTTATCAAGCGACGCGAATACTTTTTGTGCGAAAAAACAAACAAAAAATAACGAGTTTATTCGACTATTTCTTTTCTTCCTTGTAGGCCAGAACGAGACTTCCTTATAGATTTCCACGACGCATGCGCGAGAATTGCGATCTGAAGTGGTGTAAGCTGGTGTGAGCAGATCGCAAATCTCGCGCATGCGTCGTGGAAATCTAAGGAAGTCTCGTTCTGGCCTACAAGGAAGAAAAGAAATAGTCGAATAAACTCGTTATTTTTGTTTGTTTTTTCGCACAAAAAGTATTCGCGTCGCTTGATAAACTTATAGTTGAGCCACGGTAGTCACTTGGGATATTTAAACATTTTCTTCATTGACTTTCTGGGCCGTCAAGAGGCAGTCCTTTAGGAGCCAATGTGGTAGTTATACAGCTCTCAAATTTAATCAAAAATATCTTCATTTGTGCTCCGAAGACGAACGAAGGTCTTACGGGGTTGGTACAGCATGGGGGTGAGTAATTAATGACTTAATTTTCATTTTTGGGTGAACTAACCCTTTAAGGGCTAAGCACTCTGAACACTAGAGTTAAGTCCCAAGAAGGTACAGGGTGTGGATTACGAGGCGGATTTAGCCTCCTAGCACCCTTAAGGAATCTGATGACCAGGTCATGCTTTCCTAAAGACTTACCATCTACTGTATCGTGATGAGCGGCTATTGCGGCAACACACACTGTGAGGGTGGAGGAAGACAGCCTTAAGTTCAGGGGTCTTCCCGGGAAGAACACCAATCGACGAACAGGTTCCACTTCAACGCATAGAGGCGCCTCTTAGAGGGGCCTCTAGTGGAAGTGACGGTGTCTACCACAGCCTGTGGTAGGCCACCTAGAACCAGAG